CTTTGTTTGGTCTTCCAAAAGAGGACATGACTAAAAATCAGTGATTAAGTTGTATTTACAACACTGTTCCAGAACAGTTCAACCCAAATATTCAGATGTGTGCAGCTCCGGGACATGGCATCACAGTATGGAAAGGGCGTAACATTTCCATCACACGCTTGAGGTATTCGGCCAATCACAATGCACTGGATAGCTGGCCAATCAGAGCACACCTCGCTTTTCAGACCGATGAGCTTTGTAAAAATCGACGCGTTTCAGAAAGGCGGGGCATAGAGGAGAAACAATAATGTATAGTATGTGGAAAATGTGTTCTTTGAACCTTAAACCGCATAAACACATTTCATTACACCAAATACACAAAATAATGTTCTTTTTAGCAACATCATATGACCCCTTTAACAAAAATAGTTTCAAACAAAGCCACAGCAGAACAGTTTTACTTCTCTGAGCAACACACAATAGTGTTTCCTTACTGAATCGATCAGCCGTTTGAAAGAATCGGTTGAATGAATGACCCACTGACTCACCCAAAATCTTTTACCATTTTGTTGATACTGATTTAATTTTATTGGTAACAGCCCTATAGTTGGACAACAGGGCTGTTCTAGTTGTAACAGCCCTATTGTCTTATTATTTATATTTATTGATTCAATTTAAGAATTTGAGACAAAAGATGATGCATACATTTAATTAGCTTAGAAAAAAATTGGCCTTATAAATTTAAAAATGCCCATAAAAACTAAAAATCTATTTAAACTTATTGGAAAAGTAAATTTCTGTTACTCCTGCAAACTAATCACGCACAGAATAAGAAGAATATCAAAAGCAGCAGTCCTAGACCTGCCAAAATAAAAAGCACAATAACATGCTCCGCAAAATATCGTCTAATAAAATGATCGAATTAATTAAAATTCCAGAAAATATTGAGGTGTATATATATTTTTTGTCATTATCACACACCCCTATATTGAAGTCAATGGCTACCAGCAACTGTTTAGTTACCACCATTCTTTAGAATCTCCTCTTTTACGTTCAGAAGATGAAAGAAACTCATACAGATTTGGAAGAACATGAGGGTGAATAAATGATGACCGATATTCATTTTTGGGTGAACTTTAACAGTCAATTTGTTAAGTTAAGAGGTAAATTGTATTTTAATTGTTTAATCTGGTTAATGTTAACCTCTTGCTTCCTGTAAGTTTCAAACAAAGCCACAGCAGAACAGTTTTACTTCTCTGAGCAACACACAACAGTGTTTCCTTACTGAATCAATCAGCTGTTTGAAAGAATCGGTTGAATGAATGACCCACTGACTCACCCAAAATCTTTTACCATTTTGTTGATACTGATTTAATTTTATTGGTAACAGCCCTATAGTTGGACAATAGGGCTGTTCTAGTTGTAACAACCCTATTGTCTTATTATTTATATTTATTGATTCAATTTAAGAATTTGAGACAAAAGATGATGCATACATTTAATTAGCTTAGAAAAAAATTGGCCTTATAAATTTAAAAATGCCCATAAAAACTAAAAATCTATTTAAACTTATTGGAAAAGTACATTTCTGTTACTCCTGCAAACTAATCACGCACAGAATAAGAAGAATATCAAAAGCAGCAGTCCTAGACCTGCCAAAATAAAAAGCACAATAACATGCTCAGCAAAATATCGTCTAATAAAATGATCGAATTAATTAAAATTCCAGAAAATATTGAGGTGTATATATATTTTTTGTCATTATCACACACCCCTATATTGAAGTCAATGGCTACCAGCAACTGTTTAGTTACCACCATTCTTTAGAATCTCCTCTTTTACGTTCAGAAGATGAAAGAAACTCATACAGATTTGGAAGAACATGAGGGTGAATAAATGATGACCGATATTCATTTTTGGGTGAACTTTAACAGTCAATTTGTTAAGTTAAGAGGTAAATTGTATTTTAATTGTTTAATCTGGTTAATGTTAACCTCTTGCTTCCTGTAAACTGTGACATAACGTTGTGATGAGTCAATGCATTTCCTCTTTATACAGGAAACACAAGACTCTGTCTCTGATTAAAGATGGCCGTGTTATTGGGGGAATCTGTTTCCGGATGTTTCCAACTCAGGGCTTCACTGAGATTGTGTTCTGTGCTGTCACCTCCAATGAACAAGTCAAGGTATGTACTGTGATGCATTCCCGTTATCATTTGTTATTATTCTTTCTCACTCATTGCTAGCTTGACCTTTACTCATTTGATTGTTATTTAAGGGTTATGGGACTCACCTCATGAACCATCTGAAGGAGTATCACATCAAGCACGAAATTCTTAACTTTCTCACTTACGCTGATGAATATGCCATTGGCTACTTCAAAAAACAGGTCAGTGCTCTATTAGTTCCATGACACAAAATACAACTTAAGTGGATGGTGAATTATATTGCCAAGCTCCAAAAATGACAAAAGGTGTGGATGTTCTGCTTAGCATCTTCTGTTGTTTCACAAATGAAAATTAAATGAAAACTAATGTAATATTTTTAATAAGAATAGGATGAAGAAGAACAATGCTGGGTTATAACAACATGAGGATAATAATGAGGATTTTTTAGGTACTATCGCTTTAAGTATATGTCCATACTCTTATTTTGTTTCTCTTGCTTCATGTCAGGGATTCTCTAAGGACATTAAAGTGCCGAAGTCAAAGTATGTGGGCTACATTAAAGATTACGAGGGGGCCACACTCATGGGCTGTGAACTGAACCCCTGCATCCCTTACACGGAGTTCTCTGTCATCATCAAGAAACAGAAAGAGGTCTGTGTGTGTGTGAGCATATCTGAGGTGTGTCAAAGAGGTTACACAGTATGGTAAAATGCATCATTTTGTTATTGCCTAAAGGCTTTTCTATCTCTATCTTACCCTCTCTCTCTCTCAGATCATTAAGAAGCTTATAGAGCGCAAGCAAGCACAGATTCGGAAAGTCTACCCTGGCCTATCCTGTTTCAAGGAGGGAGTTCGTCAGATTGCCATTGAGAGCATTCCAGGAATCCGTACGTCACTTATGTAGTTTTAGATAAAAAAAAAACTAATAAAAAATTTATAATAATGTACTGTATGTATAAAAATGTATAATAATATTAATAAAATATTTTATGTAATTCTTCAATTAATAACAATAATACCATTTTAATAATAAATATTACCATTTTAAATAAATGTGTTCTATTTGAATATATTTTAAAATGCACTTTATTCCTATAATGGGAAAGCTGAATTTTCAGCAGCCATTGCTCCAGTCTTCAGTGTCACATGATCCTTCAGAAATCATTCTGATATGTTCATTTGCTGCTCAAGAAACATTTCTTATCATTCTCAATGTTAAAAACAGTTGTGCTGCTTAATATGTTTTTGTGGAAACAGTGATGTCAGGATGCTTTGATGTATACAGATACTTCAAAAGAACGGCATTTTAAAAAAAAACAGAAATCTAAAATTCACTGTCAATTTTGATGTATTTCATGCATTCTTTGCAAAATAAAAGTATTAATTTAAAGTATCAAGTAAAAAAAAAAAATCTTGTCCCATACTTTTGAACAGTACTGAATAAATATAAATTTTATTTAATATTTATTTCATAGTTAATAATATATTTAAATCAATAATAAATTGAATTTAAACATTACTGTTTACTTGTCTTTGGACAGGTGAGACGGGCTGGAAGCCTTTAGGGAAGAGGTGAGTGTGTATGAGTCACAGCTAAACAAAAAATGTAAACATGTAGTTTGTTTTATGTTGTGTACTTTTTCACAGCAAAGAGCTGAAGGATCCAGACCAGTTGTACAGCACCTTAAAGAACATCTTACAGCAGGTCAAGGTAATATATCTGTATTGCTTACATGTTTCAAAAATTATATTTATGAAATCAAACGACTAATTAGGAATATGTATTGTACTCCTCAGTCACACCAGAATGCATGGCCCTTCATGGAGCCTGTAAAGAAGAACGAGGCACCTGGTTATTATCAAGTCATCCGCTTCCCTATGGGTACGCAGAGATCTCTTATACACAATGCACCTTAGGCTTACTTCTGAGCATGTAATGCCTGACTGTTATATTGTGCATTGTAGACTTGAAGACGATGAGCGAGCGTCTGAAGAGTCGTTACTATACCACACGGAAGCTGTTCATGGCCGACATGCAGAGGATCTTCACTAACTGCAGAGAGTACAACCCTCCTGAAAGCGAGTACTACAAATGTGCCAACCTACTAGAGAAATTCTTCTACACCAAGATCAAAGAGGCGGGCCTCATCGAGAAGTAATCCAGCTAGGGGGCGCAAGTAGTCCGGTTCCCTTTCTACCTCTTTTCTCCACATTTATTATATAACTCCTTTTTACCCCCATTGTTTTTGCATCAAAGGGAGGGTTTTCTGAAATGAAGACGTTTAAATTCAAATTTGCTGAAAATGTAACCTCAGGCCAGCCAAGATTGTTTGTAATCTGTAAAAATTTGGAGAAATTGAGCATTTCATCACTTGCTCACCAGTGGATCCTCAGCAGTGAATGGGTGCCGTCAGAATGAGAGTCAAATACTTATCTCTATCTACAGTCTCAATTAGCAGTGTCAATAGTCCATTTGAGAGATAGGTGGCGGTAATGCACTTTTAAGTCTGTGATCTGCCGTAAAGCAAGAAGAAGACGACTACGCGCCACGCGCCAGCTGTTGAGAACGTGCTCAGGACATTTCGGACACTGCGGTGAATTAGAGGTAAAAAAAACGATATAGATACTGTTCAGTTTCTTGCACAGACCGATCGTTTCGTGTCTTTACACATCAATGTATCGTCACGAGCCACAGGGTTTAATTTGGTTTTGTTTGTGTATGTTTTTTTGACTCTCAAAGCCGTGATTCCCATTCACTTCCATTATATGACTGACAGACTGCAACAGTTTGAGTTAAAAATCTTCGTCTGTGTTCTACTGAAGAAACAAAATCACCTACATCTTGGATGCCCTGGGGGTAAGCAGATAAACATCAAATTTTCATTTTTGGGTGAACTATCCCTTTAATGTAGTACACTTTTTGAAGGTTCATTAACCTGTATGGAATGTTATACAATTTTATTCTGTATTACCTATTATTTCATTTTTGGCAGAACTATCCCTTTAACAGGGCAACTTGCTGATAGTAATGAAAAAGCTGATGTACCTTGGGAATCTAGTAGAGAGTTGGCAGGTGTGACAATAGTGGTTTTCTACACGGCCTGCATCCCAGCGTAGGTCATCATTTGAGGGTGGGAGGGATCCGGAAGGCTGGGTTGCACCTCCACATCGGCTACATGGCAGATTGTCCACCCAAGAAAAGAAGTCCCCTTTGAACCACTGCAACAGCTCTAGAACTAACATGTCTTCCTCACCTAGATTACATGCTGAGAGTGAAACACAACACATAAACATGAGTCTGGAGTCTTCATTTCATCCAAGTTTAAACATATTTTTCAAAATGTCTTTGTAAAAAAACTTTTAAATGAGGGAAAGGAATTCAGCAGTCATTACTCCAGTTTTCAGTGTCACATGATCCTTATTATTATTAAAGTTGAAAATACGATAAATGTTTTTTCTGTCACTTTTGATCAATTTAATGCCTCCTTGATAAACTATATATTTAAAATTGTTATATTTTTTTAATTTTCTTAAAATTATATTCTAACGAATATCAAAATGTACTTATATTAAACGATCAAACTGATGTGATGTCTTGCTAACCTGGTTCCGCATCCTTGGCTTGTTTCAAGCGTTCTTCAGCTCTGGATCTGAGCAGTTCATGAGGTATGCAGTTCAGAGCCTTCTGCTGCAACTCGGGGCTCTCGTATATCAACACATGCTGGAAGTTTGACTGCAGAGTCTTAAGAAATGTCACGCGGCTCAACTAATATACCAGAAGGGAAAGGAGAAAGAAAAGTATAAAAATGCTAGAACCAAACAATTTATTTTCCACGATTAAGTTTGTCGTTTTAACTGATAGTGCGGAAAGCTTCAGCTATAAACGGAAAATCTAATTTATGATATCATCCTTAAAAAGAACACGAAAAAGGGACAGAGGGAAACTGAAATAGAACCGAGAATTAGGAAGAAAAAAAGAGACTCACGGTGAATGGCAGAGCAGCTGGTGCAGGTGTAGGGACGGCGGAGGAAGAAGAAGCGGAGGGTAGTGGTGGTGGAGGAGGACTTGGAGGAACTCTGGCACTTTGTTGGCTGGATGCAGCTTTACTAGCACCAAGTCTCTGGTCCCTTTCTGCTGCAATTGTCTCCCGCACCTGCCTCAGCCTCTCCACAGATGCAGACTTCGGAAACACCAGGTGGGTTTCAGCCTAATGTGGACACGTACAAAAAGCAAATCTGGCATGTTATGATGTTTTTAAGCCATAAAGGTATATCTATCTCTGTGTGTGTGTGTGTGTGTGTGTACACATGGTCATATGCAGGGCACCAACCTCTTCAAATCCCATCTCAAAGAGACATTCAACGGCTCCTTTCACAGGTAGAAGCTTGGTGGAAAATGTTGGATTTCCGATACGGATTGATTTGTATTTATCTTCATTTGGGTTTCTACAAAAAACATACATACACAAGATCAAACTAGAAACTGAAATAATGCTAATGCGATAGAAATCACATGTAGCGTAGAGATGGCGTACAATATTATTAATGTAGAAAATGAATTAAAAAAAAACAAGATGCTTGTACAGTATGCTGTCAGATGGACAGTATACCTAACGTTACATACAGAAGAGACTGTCATTCCCAATCATCAGGCGGAACAACATTCCACCCGGCACTCTGAATGTCTCCGGAACAATTCACTTACCTAAGAATATTGTCCGCGTATGTAATGAGCAATTTAGAAACATCCAAAAACACTTCTGTGGGATTTTCACACAAAGCAGTGACTCCTTGAGACCCAGACATGATTATACATTTAACTTCTACAGCAAACACATCCGCGAGACAACACGTAACCTACTTCTACTCAAAGTTGCGAATTCATAGCTGTCCGTTCTGTGCCTGGTGCATATGTTGCAGGAAGATATATTATCAGTTATGTTCATTTGTTGTGTACTTTTCATATAACTGTAAAATATACAAATGACTTTAAACATATTTTAGAAAAATGTTTTGACACAGCTGAGCACAGATAATCTGAAATCAGATGAAATCATAGCTGGACAGGCGATCCCAGAGCCCTAAACAAGCGACTTGATGGCGAAAATGATGGCATGATAAAAGTCTTTTAAAAGTCCTTACCGATCACATCAACCAAAATGTTATGCGTCTGCTATTTTATAATAATTTGATTAATTTGCTTTTGTTACAATGTGTTTGACATCAAAACACAAGATAAGGCGTACATCGCACGCGAAAGAAATATAATATATTATACAATAAGTATCAAAATTGTATACTGCTCTAAAAATAAAATGTTTAAAAAAATATATAAAATATTGTTACAGCTAAAAATACAAAACAGAGAGAATAAAAATTTAATATTCAGTAAAATCTAACACTTAACTGTGCAGCTGTGCAAATAAAATACGCAGCTATATAGATATGTATGAGCAAAAGAATGAACGGATAGACATTCAATTGTGTATATGTGTGAACTACTGAATAGACATTAATGGATATGTACAATAATGAATAGAAGATTTAATAATAATGATGCACGCCCTGTTTGTTTGTTTTGCTTTTACATTAATAAATAATGCTCTAATATTGTTTGAGATTTCAAAAAATGAGTTCGAAAAAAGTCTGACGGCAGACCATTTATGAATGTGTAAATCCATTTGTTGTTGTACGTCTATAATATGATTAATTTTATATTACTATGAAGTGAAATATTTACTCGGTTTTTAAGTTTTATTAATATATTTTTTGTTTGCATGACTTAAAATAATTTATACTTCAAATTGTAAAGTGCTGTTCTTTTTATTGTGAATTAACATTTGTCTGTTTAGGTTAATAATTGTTATATATATATATATATATATATCTATATCCTCCTGAGACCCAGCTATGGAGTTTTTGCCTCTGTAGTGGACATTATATTTGAGTGAATTTCTCTGAGACCTCACATGTCACAGTTTTAAGTCTGGAGTCCCCTAACGTTACTCTCCTAAAAGCTGATCTCAGATCTGCCGGTAACTCGCTGCTTCTTTTTCCGGCCAATAAGGCGCGAAGTTACTCAGCCCGGGTAGCTTTGCCGTCACATTGAGGTGGTCATTTGTAAGTTTAAAAATAATATTTACAGCAAGTCATTATAAAACACGACATTATCCAGAATACGTATTTAATGATATAGTCGTACACGTTCGTTTAACTTTGTGATCAAACTGTTAATTTCCAGTGTTTGTTTGCAGATTCGGCTACACGTGGTCTTTTCAAACTTGCACAGGATCTTTCATACGGCGAAAAACAATGGCAGAAAAACCGATGTGGGAGCAAATCGGCAGTGGATTCGTGCAACACTATTATCAGCAGTTTGATACAGACCGCGTGAAGCTCGCAGACCTGTATGTAAGTGAATCATTGCGAGACGAGTGAAATGACTGTCAGTGAACGCGTGATGATCCCCGTGTTATGTTGTTTTGATCTGTCTGTATTGCGTTTTAGCTGTAGAATATTGTGTTTGTTGTTTTTAGCACCCCATTCTATGCCTGTATATCTGATTCTGATATTACCTTTTTCTTCTCTAGACCGATGCTTCCTGTTTGACATGGGAAGGAGAGGGATTTCAAGGGAAGAATGCAATCATGACCAAATTAAGTGTAAGTTAGTTTATTTCACACCTGTCATTGCTCTCATATACACATTGTCTTCCTAAATGCATCTAACAGAATGTGTCTGTTTGCAGAGCCTTCCCTTTCAGACCATTCAGCACAGCATCACCGCTCAGGACCATCACCCCACTCCAGACAGCTGTGTCATGAGTATGGTCATGGGCCAGCTCAAAGTAAGACTGCATTTGTTAAAACAGTTCTGTTTCATCAGACAGCTGTCTGAAATTTAGATTTAATTAGTTGATTTATGCATTTTTGTTCAAAGAAAATTAGATCTGTGCTGTTATATGTCTTAAAGGAATAGTTCATCCAAAAATGAAAATCTCCCTCAGGCCATCTGAAATGTAGATGCGTTTGTTTCTTCATCAGAACAGATTGGGAGAAATTTAGCTTGACATCACTTGCTCACCAGTGGATTGTCTGCAGTGAATGGGTGCCGTCAGAATGAGAGTCCAAACAGCTGGTAAAAACATTACAATAATAGTCCTCTATCCACAATATTGCTGTCTCCAGTGAATAAATTGTATTAAATTATGTACAGATCAAGCACTGTTTACAAGTACAAAACAGTCCAAAATTGTTCTAAACAAATATGTTAGTGGGTTTTGATGTGAGAGGACAACAGGGGATGGACTTTTTCACTGGAGGAAACGTTCTTTTTGATTATGGACTGCTATTTTGGCCAGAAGCAACAGTTTCAAGTTAAAATTTCTCTGACATAAATTGATTGACAAAAGAATTACTTGTGGATTATCGTAATGTGTTTTATCAGCTTTGGACTGTCATACTGACGGCACCCATTCACTGCTGTAGATCCATTGGTGAGCAAGTGATGTAATGTTAAATTTCTGCAAATCTGTTCTGATGACTAAACCAAATCATCTACATCTTTGATGGCCAAGGGTTGAGTGGATTTTCAGCAACTTGTTATGTCTGGGTGAGCTACTCCTTTTAATATGACTGTAAAATATCACAAACATTAATATTGTTTTTGTATATTTTTACAGGCTGATCAAGACCAAGTTATGGGCTTTCAGCAAGTTTTCTTGCTGAAGAATGTAGATAACAAATGGGTCTGCACCAACGACATGTTCCGATTAGCTCTTCATAACTTCGGAGCATAGTATGTATAGTATTTACAGTCCATGCAACTTTTGTATCTGGAGTATGGTTTCCCGTTTCATACTCCAAACTGATTTCGACCTATTTTGCCAAGGATCTTGAAGGTTCATGATCATCTCCAGATAAGAAAAAGACATGTTAAAAACAACTGATTATAATAATCATAATTTGTATGTTGTGGCATGCACTGTTTGAAAATAACTTGAGTTTGATGATAAATCTCATGTTAGTACAACCCATCTTTGATTTCCTATGCTTCATTCTTTGGTAAAATGTCTTTGCTACTGATTTATGATTTATTATTTTATCTAAATAATAAAACCAGATTTTACATTAGTGAAACAATCAAGACCAAGATAAAAGTATGAGTACTATTAGAAAATGGCATCGGGGAAAGAAAAACATTGGTGGCAGATGCCCCAATTAGTTTGTACAGGCATGACTATTTACCTCGGAGGGTCATTTAAGTTCATTCAAATACATTTCTTCCACTGCAGACAAAAACATCTGTTAATCAAATAGTTCTGGTAATGGGGGCTGATTGGTCAATACAGTATAGTCAAGAGAAGTGGTTTATTGTCATTTCTGTGTTGTCTGCCAGAGGAATAAACAAAATACAGTGTCTGTGGAAACATTTTACATACAACAGTCTCAAGACCAACAGTTTCAATTTCAAATACAGATACACTACAAAGTGTCTTTTCACCTAGCTGCTGTGTGTATATCGCTGCACAGCACCCATAGAGGGGAGGAAACGTTCTTTTTGATTATGGACTGCTATTTTGGCCAGAAGCAACAGTTTCAAGTTAAAATTTCTCTGACATAAATTGATTGACAAAAGAATTACTTGTGGATTATCGTAATGTGTTTTATCAGCTTTGGACTGTCATACTGACGGCACCCATTCACTGCTGTAGATCCATTGGTGAGCAAGTGATGTAATGTTAAATTTCTGCAAATCTGTTCTGATGACTAAACCAAATCATCTACATCTTTGATGGCCAAGGGTTGAGTGGATTTTCAGCAACTTGTTATGTCTGGGTGAGCTACTCCTTTTAATATGACTGTAAAATATCACAAACATTAATATTGTTTTTGTATATTTTTACAGGCTGATCAAGACCAAGTTATGGGCTTTCAGCAAGTTTTCTTGCTGAAGAATGTAGATAACAAATGGGTCTGCACCAACGACATGTTCCGATTAGCTCTTCATAACTTCGGAGCATAGTATGTATAGTATTTACAGTCCATGCAACTTTTGTATCTGGAGTATGGTTTCCCGTTTCATACTCCAAACTGATTTCGACCTATTTTGCCAAGGATCTTGAAGGTTCATGATCATCTCCAGATAAGAAAAAGACATGTTAAAAACAACTGATTATAATAATCATAATTTGTATGTTGTGGCATGCACTGTTTGAAAATAACTTGAGTTTGATGATAAATCTCATGTTAGTACAACCCATCTTTGATTTCCTATGCTTCATTCTTTGGTAAAATGTCTTTGCTACTGATTTATGATTTATTATTTTATCTAAATAATAAAACCAGATTTTACATTAGTGAAACAATCAAGACCAAGATAAAAGTATGAGTACTATTAGAAAATGGCATCGGGGAAAGAAAAACATTGGTGGCAGATGCCCCAATTAGTTTGTACAGGCATGACTATTTACCTCGGAGGGTCATTTAAGTTCATTCAAATACATTTCTTCCACTGCAGACAAAAACATCTGTTAATCAAATAGTTCTGGTAATGGGGGCTGATTGGTCAATACAGTATAGTCAAGAGAAGTGGTTTATTGTCATTTCTGTGTTGTCTGCCAGAGGAATAAACAAAATACAGTGTCTGTGGAAACATTTTACATACAACAGTCTCAAGACCAACAGTTTCAATTTCAAATACAGATACACTACAAAGTGTCTTTTCACCTAGCTGCTGTGTGTATATCGCTGCACAGCACCCATAGAGGGCGTTTGTGTTTTGAGTTAAGTGGCCAGTTTGCGACATTTAGTTCAATTGTTTATCAAATGTTGTTTTGCAGAACTGTATTTTGATACGCAACAAAATATGAAACCTCTTCACATGCTT